CAGGTGGAAATAAGACAAATAACTGTGATCAAGAAAGTCCAGCCTGACTGAGACATGTACCACACAACATACAATAACGGCTGTGCTGTGTCAGATGACAAAATAATCAGTATCTACAAAATGTGAACTAGTGAAGAAAAACTACATTTGCCTAAAATGCACTGTAGTTTGCCCAAAATTCAATGCAATTTGCCCAAAATGCACTGCATGCTAGTGGCTTTCTTTTGTAGCTAACACTACATAACAAGTAAACAACATTCACTGTATATTCCACAACATAAATAATTTGAATTTGATGATAAAATCCAGCATCTGAACAATGGTTAACATAGCATTAATAAAATACATCACACAAAACACAAGCTGTGGAAGTCAGCCAACATTGCTACATCCACAAAGTCAGATTCTGTAACTTATGACTTGAAGGACCCCAATGGTAATAAGTCATTCGATCTAACTTTTCTGGGTTACCCAGGTTCTCTACACATCTGCTGCTATAGCTGTATAGCCCTTGTGGCTTAGCACTTCTTTCTGATTATAATAATAATAATAATCTGCTGCTATATATATTCTATGTAACTATTTGTGTACACCTGAATAAATTTACTAAGTGCCGACAAGACAAGGTGCTCTTGAAGAAGAAAAAGACACAATACTGTGACTGGAACAATACATAAATAACCTGCACATAGGAGAATGAACCTCATCACAATGAGTGTCTGACTAGTCAATGATCCAAGTTGAACCAAAATACAGTGGATCGCCGCTTAACGATCACCTCCCAATGCGACCAATTATGTAAGTGTATTTATGTAAGTGCGTTTGTACGTGTATGTTTGGGGATCTGAAATGGACTAATCTACTTCACAATATTCCTTATGGGAACAAATTCGGTCAGTACTGGCACCTGAACATACTTCTGGAATGAAAAAATATCGTTAACCGGGGGTCCACTGTATCATTGTAAGTTTCTTTCTCCTCTGTGTGGGTTTTTTGTGTAAGATGCACTTGTACTACAGCACTAGAGATGACTAGAGAAACTACCTGGAATTTGTTACATGTATATACAACTAGTGGGTTTATGAAGAATATCAAGTACGTTGATTTAGTATTTCTAGGAGAAACCTTGAGAAATCCACACAATATAAGGGACATCAGTTGTACTTGGCAAAGTACTGTAAGTGGAGAGCATCAGTTGTACTTGACAAAGTACTGTAAGTGGAGAGCATCAGTTGTACTTGACAAAGTATGGTAAGTGGAGAGCATCAGTTGTACTTGACAAAGTACTGTAAGTGGAGAGCATCAGTTGTACTTGACAAAGTATGGTAAGTGGAGAGCATCAGTTGTACTTGACAAAGTACAGTAAGTGGAGAGCATCACTTGTACTTGACAAAGTACTGTAAGTGGAAAGCATCAATTGTACTTGACAAAGTACAGTAAGTGGAGAGCATCAGTTGTACTTGACAAAGTACTGTAAGTGGAGAGCATCACTTGTACTTGACAAAGTACTGTAAGTGGAGAGCATCAATTGTACTTGACAAAGTACAGTAAGTGGAGAGCATCAGTTGTACTTGACAAAGTACAGTAAGTGGAGAGCATCAGTTGTACTTGACAAAGTTTCAGTAAGTGGGAGCATCAGTTGTACTTGACAAAGTACTGTAAGTGGAGAGATCAGTTTGTACTTGACAAAGTACTGTAAGTGGAAAGCATCAGTTGTACTTGACAAAGTACAGTAAGTGGAGAGCATCAGTTGTACTTGACAAAGTACAGTAAGTGGAGAGCATCAGTTGTACTTGACAAAGTACAGTAAGTGGAGAGCATCAGTTGTAAATTGACAAAATACAGTAAGTGGAGAGCATCGTTGTACTTGACAAGAAAAGTAAGTGGAGAGCATCAGTTGTACTTGACAAAGTACAGTAAGTGGAGAGCATCAGTTGTACTTGACAAAGTACAGTAAGTGGAGAGCATCAGTTGTACTTGACAAAGTACAGTAAGTGGAGAGATCAGTTGTACTTGACAAAATACAGTAAGTGGAGAGCATCAGTTGTTTCTTGACAAAGTACAGTAAGTGGAGAGCATCAGTTGTACTTGACAAAGTACAGTAAGTGGAGAGCATCAGTTGTACTTGACAAAGTACAGTAAGTGGAGAGCATCAGTTGTACTTGGGCAAAAGTCAGTAAGTGGAGAGCATCAGTTGTACTTGACAAAGTACAGTAAGTGGAGAGCATCGTTGTACTTGACAAAGTACAGTAAGTGGAAGAGCAAACAGTTGTACTTGACAAAGTACAGTAAGTGGAGAGCATCAATTGTACTTGACAAAGTACTGTAAGTGGAGAGCATCAATTGTACTTGACAAAGTACAGTAAGTGGAGAGCATCAGTTGTACTTGACAAAGTACAGTAAGTGGAGAGTATAACTTTGTATTTAGTTATTTTGAGTTCTTAATACAGTTATTAATGTAAAAAGTTGCTAACACTATTATGCACTCCTTGCCATCGCTACCAATTTGAAGTTATCTTAATTTGTTACTATCAGTACCAATTTGTTAACCCTTAAACGGTCCAAATAGATCGGCGTTCAAATCCATAGTCCAAAAGTAGATCTATGTTTTTTTTACATATTTTCAAATATAACAAAAAAATGTACATAAAAGTTTTTTTTACACATTTTCAAATGTAAAAAAAAAAAAAGATGATCTACATGTTTTTACATACTTTCAAATGTTGAAAAAACGTATATATACGTTTGGAGCGTTTAAGGGTTAATATGGTTACTATCTTACATTCATACTACCGCCGTCATTCACAATACTCTAAACTTAAAACATCTTTATTATTCTCAAAAAACTTTTAGGTGCATTAACCCAAAATAATGCTAGGTCCACTGGTCACAATTAAAAAAATCCGTAATGCATTCCGAGTTGTAAGCTGTGAATTATAGAAAATTTTGAGAGAAAACAAAATTTTTTTTTGCTAAGGTATACAGTGGACCCCCAGTTAACGAACTTTTTTCATTCCAGTAGTATGTTCAGGTGCCAGTACTGACCGAATTTTTTCCCATAAGGAATATTGTGAAGTAGATTAGTCCATTTCAGACCCCCAAACATACACGTACAAACGCACTTACATAAATACACTTACATAATTGGTCGCATTTGGAGGTGATCGTTAAGCGGGGGTCCACTGTATATAAATTGTGAACATCTTGTATACTGTATATACTAAATTTTTGATTTAATGTATTTCAGAAATACAAGACAAAATCCGTTGGATCAAGAGATTTAAAAACAACAGAGAAAGTCCATTGGTTACAAAACTGTCCATTATTTTTACAATCACAGCAAAACAATCTCATCTCTAGCCACTACAATCGTCATTACTGGCCACCCACTCCCATCCCATAAATTCATTAAATCAAAGCTTATTTCAATTTTTACCTACAATATTCACATAACAAAAATACAGTGGAACCTCAAAAATCGAACTGCTCCCAACACAACCAATTATGTAAGTGTATTTTTGTAAGTGCTTTTATAAGTGTATTTTTGAGGGTCTTAAATGGTCTAATCTAATTTACATTATTCCTGATGGGAATAAATTCGGTCGGTACTGGCACTCGAACAGCCTTCTGGACCGAAGAAAGTTCGATATTTGAGGTTCCACTGTATATAGATTTATTGCTTTAACTAAAACAATAGGATTCTGCTAAATTTTCCCCCTTAAAATACAGTTTAAACAGCATTTTTCATTACAATTATGATATTTCTGCATTAACAAATGATATAATCTACATGGAAATGCCAGAGTGAAAATAGGAAATAAAGCCTGAGTGCCTGCATGTGCTTCTTCATATATCTTCAGAGGAAAAGGAAGAAGAGGCAAGAAAAGCGTATGTTATAAGTTAAAATCTGAGATGACGCTTCACTCAGAGATGACACCTCACTCAGAGGTGACACCTCACTCAGAGGTGACACCTCACTCAGAGGTGACACCTCACTCAGAGGTGACACCTCACTCAGAGGTGACACCTCACTCAGGGGTGACACCTCACTCGGGAAAATCCGGTGACACCTCACTCAGAGGCGACCCTCCTCAGAGGTGATCACCTCCCACTCAGAGGTGACACCTCATCTAAAAAGAGATGACACCTCATCAGAGGGACACATCACTCAGGGGGTTGACACCTCACTCAGAGGATGGTGAACCTCACTCAGAGGGTGACCCCTCATCAGAGGTACACCTCACTCAGAGGTGACACCTCACTCAGAGGTGACACCTCACTCAGAGGTGACACCTCACTCAGAGGTGACACCTCACTCAGAGGTGACACCTCACTCAGAGGTGACACCTCACTCGGGCCTCACGGGTGACACCTCACCTCAGAGGTTGACACCTCACTCAGAGGTGACACCTCACTCAGAGGTGACACAGTGGACCAATTATGTAAGTGTATTTTTGTAAGTGCTTTTATAAGTGTATTTTTGAGGGTCTTAAATGGTCTAATCTAATTTACATTATTCCTGATGGGAATAAATTCGGTCGGTAGTGGCACTCGAACAGCCTTCTGGACCGAAGAAAGTTCGATATTTGAGGTTCCACTGTATAAAGAATTTATTGCTTTAACTAAACAATGGTTTCCTGTCTAATAGTGTCCGCCCTAAAATAAGTTTAAACAGCATTTTCAGTACAATTAATGATATTTCTGCATTAACAAATAGATAACATCCTACGATGTGAAAGCCGAGAGGTGACACCCTAGGTACACCTGGGACTCAGCAATGTGCTCATCGTATATCTTACGAGTAATAAAAGAGGTACAAGAAAATGTATGTTCTAATTAAAATCTAAAACTCTTACACTCAGAAATACCCTCACTCAATGTGAACCTACTCAAATTCACACCCACCCAATACCCCAACTCTCAAGCTACCACCTCCTCAAGTGACACCCTCAGGGTGACACCTCACTCAGAGGTACACCTCACTCAGAGGTGACCCTCACTCAGAGGCGACACCTCACACAAACCTATCTCACCAAACTCTATCCCACAAAACCTATCTCACACAAACCTATCCCACAAAAACCTATCTCACACAAACCTATCCCACAAAAACCTATCTCACACAAACCTATCCCACACAAACCTAACCCACTCATACATCTGTCCAACATCAAGTTGATGTTGGTTGTAATTATGACCATAATTTTTAGAGGGGTGGGCCAGTAAGCCAGCAGAAGGCCTCAGTTAGATGATGACCAAAAGCTCCAACAACAGGTGGTCATCTGACTAAGATCTGCGCCAGGAAACACTTGTCCTGTTACCTGACGAACCTTACCTAACCTAACATCAAGTCAAATTGTTCGCCTGACAAGGAACACAATCGAGTTATATTTCCAATTTTCACTATGGTAGTTTTTCACAGTTGCACTTCTTCATTTTATTGTGATTTCTTCCATATATCTACATAGCAGCAACACTCACTGAATTTAAATTTGATTTTACAAAAGAATTGAGTTCTCCTGCATTTCAGCTACTGCAGACATGTGCCCTAAAACAGAAGCCACAAAATTGTTGAAATCTCTCCTAACGCTTCCACTGTCCTCGTCCAGCTGTGTGTCAATTTTTGGGATCTGGTTGAAAGAATTCGCTGAAAAGAAGAAATAAACTGGTTAATATGGTTTACTACTACAGGCATACCTCATTAATATGGCGCCCGCTTTAGAGCGCTTTGCTAATACGGCGTTTTTTAATTATATTCATGTTTATTATTTTCAGCACTTACCTTCCTCTTAAGATGGTCAAAAGCAATTATTTATTTATTTCAACTTTTGCATTGTTTTTTTAGGCCTAGTGCTATTGTGCACTTAATAAATGGCTTTTATATCCACTGGCAAATGTAAAAAAGGCTGTGATTTGCTTTAAAGTGATATTCACTGTACAGGGCAGTCTGGAGCTTAACCCACAGTATTAACCAGGTATTCCTGTATGTGCAGTCAAAATAAAAATTATGGTACCAATAAAGAACTGGAACAATACACAAATAACCACACATAGGGAGAGGAGATTATGACAACATTTTGGTCTGATTTGGACCATTTACAAAGTCACACTGTTATGTTTTATGGTAACAATACCAATATGTAAAATATGCACAGCAGAGTCAACCTTTCTCTTTTTAAATTTAGTAATACAGTGGACCCCCGCTTAACGATCACCTCCCAATGCGACCAATTATGTAAGTGTATTTATGTAAGTGTGTTTGTACGTGTATGTTTGGGGGTCTGAAATGGACTAATCTACTTCACAATTTTCCTTATGGGAACAAATTCGGTCAGTACTGGCACCTGAACATACTTCTGGAATGAAAAAATATCGTTAACCGGGGGTCCACTGTTGTAAGAGGCGACTAAAATGCCGGGAGCAAGTCCCGGCATTTTAGTCGCCTCTTACAACACGCATGGCTTACGGAAACTTTCGTTTTTCCTTTCGGGCCACCCCACATCAGTGGGATACGGCTGGTGCATTGAGTCAACCTTTGTGAAAAGGCTCACTCTGTGTAATAAATGCTTGGCATTCATTACACTGTGGTTGAAACACAGTACAAATCTTGTTGCAAACCTTTGGATCTTCTCTACTCTCTTTTAAGTTTCATCTCCCTTAAAGTTCTTAGTTTGAACTGAAAAATGCCTCAGATTGTGACTGACCTAAACAGTATTCATCTTATCTTCTATTGTCATATGTGCCATAACATGCATAAATATTTTTATTTTTTTAAGCACATCAGTCATCTCCCACCGAGGTCGGTGACCCAAAAAAGAAGAAACAAAAACTTTTGTCTTCTTACATTTAGTAATTTATACAGGAGAAAGAGTTACAAGCATCTTGCTGTCAGCCTCTTATGACACATGACTTATGGAGGAATTATTCTAACCCACTACCCCATGGAGATTAATAAACATACATACAGCCTCTCCTCACTTAACGACGGGGTTCCATTCCTAAGAGTAGGTCGTTAAGCAAATTGGTCATTGAGCAAGGAGCGTACTGTACTGGTATTGGGTTTGTGTCAACCATCTTAAGTTATTTTTTAACATCACCTTTGCACAATTTATATTATTTTTAATATATTTTTAAATGTTTATACAGTAGTATACTGTATATTGTAAAAAAACAGAATAGAGGAAATCAGTTCTTATATACATCATTTAGGTTTGCATACTGGTTGGAGAGCTGGTCGTAAGTCTGAGTGGTTGGTAAACGAGTACGTCACTAAGTGAAGAGGCGCTGTATACAATACATACATACTGTGTTAAGAGTTTATCAGCTGTGTTAAATGAAGAACCATTTCAAAGTAACCTAGCTGATTTCAAAGTAACCTAGCTGATTTCAAAGTAACCTAGCTGACTTCAAAGTAACCTAGCTGATTTCAAAGTAACCTAGCTGATTTCCTAACTAAAACAAAAATTATACAAAAGCATTCTTACAGAGTTTAGCTCCTTTGCCCTTATAGTCTGGCTTGTAATGGCAAAATACAACACATTGAGTCTCACGGAGACCTTGCTGCTCCACAAAGTGGGTATAAAAGGTGTCTAAGGTGTGTGCGTGGTCCTCCCGCCCGGGACTATACACAAACACAATACCATTGACACCTCTCTGAATAGCTGGCCAGCAATTTTCAAACCTGTGTAAATAAGAACATAAGTAAATTTATTCAGGTACAGGAACACAGAAATGCAGTTACATAAGTTATCACACATAGCAGCATATGTGTAGATTATTCTCCAGAATCACCCAAAAAAGTCAAAGTGACTTATTTCCTTTATGATCCAATATATTACTTTATTGCTATCGCATACTTAATCCAAACATAATAAAGTACAGAATAAAAAAAACCACAATACCATGACTGGAACAATACACAAATAACCCGCACATAGGAGAGTGAATCTCATGATAATATTTTGGTCCAATTTGGACTAGGATCTAGTTAATGGTTCAAGTTATCATAAGTATCAGTATCTAATCTGTGGGTTGTGTATAATAATGCAATAAATCCTGATCAATTGCAGAAATGCATCAATATGGAGAAAATAAAACAGAAGGTCTGAAGTGTAAGCCCTCAATTTAATGGAGTAATAGGGAGCAGCAGGTGGGAAGTACAGTAGACCCCCGGTTAACGATATTTTTTCACTCCATAAGTATGTTCAGGTGCCAGTACTGACCGAAATTATTCCCATAAGGAATATTGTGAAGTAGATTAGTCCATTTCAGACCCCCAAACATACACGTACAAACGCACTTACATAAATACACTAACATAATTGGTCGCATTCGGAGGTAATCGTTATGCGGGGGTCCACTGTAATTTGACTGTGGTGGATAAAGTAATTTGCATTACAGATAAGTGGTCTATATTTATCTAGCACTGTATTGTATAGTACTTACCATCTATCTCCGCTCACATCCCAAAGTTCAACTTCAGCTTTCGTTGTCATGCTGTTGACAGTCAGGTTAGGAATTTCAAACTCAACAATGCGACAGCCTTTGGTCGGTCGATACTCGCCGCTGCCCACCTCTCCCGACTCACTCAGAAAGTTGGCTAGAGCAGTCTTGCCACACTGATGCAAGAAAAAAAAGAACGTAAACGAAAGGTATACAATACCAACAAGATGAAAATGAGACACGTGCAACATCTGGGCATCTTTATAGTAGACGTTTTTGCCGTCCAGTGGTTTTATCAATACAAATTCCAAGATGTAATTGGAAGACAGAACTATATACAAAAGATGAGATAATCAGTCCCTCAGCCTTGGAGCTGAAGATCATCGTAATCGGTGATCTTCATCTTTTGTATATAGTTCCGTCTTCCAATTACGTACATCCTGGAATTTGTATTGATAGAACCACTGGATGGCAAAAACGTCTACTATAAAGATATCCAGATGTTGCACGTGTCTAATTTTCATCGAGAAAAAATAATAATCAGGTATATTTCAGTCACATTACAAGATTCAAGAGAAAAGTGAATAAGTATCTTCACCAGGTATCATATCAACCAGGCTGTGATGAATGTGTGGGGCAGCAAGCCTCCAGCAGCAACAGTCTGGTTGACCAGGTTAGCACCAGACCAGCCTGGCCCGTGGCCAAGCTCCGGGAGTAGTAAGACTCAAAACTCAGCAAAGGTACATCAAAGGTAAGGTATAGCCTCATACCCTAGTACAGATGCTCCTTGATTTACGATGATTCGACTTACGATATTTCAACTTTACGATGGTGCGGCAGCAACTACTTTGGAGTTGAAATTTAAGATAATTAATGAAGGCGGCAAGCTTACCGAGTGGGCAAAATGTTGAAGAAATATAGCAAAGTGTTACGTGTGGATCGTGACATCGACACGTTTCTACCAACACAGGGACTGAATGAATGATGGTGATTTTTTCCTTTTTTATGAACAAGCGAACTTGTGTGTGAAACCGATTATCTGACGTAATTTTTTTTAAAAAGTCAAAACTTAAACCTTATAATATACAACTTCCGAGACTGAATAATAATAATAATAATAATAAAATAACAAAAGAAAATAAAAATAATAATAACAATAATAATAATAAAACAATAAAAAAAGAAAATAATCTAAAAATAATAATAACAGCTATGTTTTTACAAAGATTATAAACAAATCAACGGAAAGACGAGGACGAAGCTCGAACCTCGACCCCAAGTCTGACACGGCCAGAACTTGGCGCCACAGTTAGAGTCCCCCATCCATCTTTCCGTTTATTCATTGGCAGTCGTTTATTATGGCTTAAGCCGAGTTAAGTAAGAAAGTAAGTTTATTCCGATATATTTATTTATTTATTTATTTATTTATTTAAAAATTTGAGCACACATACAGAGGTACAAAAAATACAGATAAGAGCAGCATGCCAAAGCCACTTATACTATGCATAGCATTACGGGCTGGCTTAAAATTAACTTAAGATGAACTAAGCAATGATGACATCAGTGATAATACTTTAATGTAAACAGATTACTATAAAGCACAAGTGAGTATTACAAAGACAGGTCATATGGTTGTATGCATTGTTGTACATTCAGTGGAATGGAGTATTCTGTTAGGTAGTGTATTTAAAAAATAATAAAGTTAGATTGGGTTTTAGGTTTAACATTTATGTGATATAATTGTGAGAAACATTTAAGATATACAATTTATAAGGTTCAGTTATTCAGTATTTATTTGGTTTTGGGTGAGTAAGTGATCTTTGAGAAGAGACTTGAATTTATAAACAGGTAGTTTTTTCTTTTATATTTACAGGTAATGAATTCCAGATTTTAGGGCCTTTTATGTGCATTGAGTTTTTGCATAGTGTGAGATGGACACGAGGAACATCAAAGAGTGATCTGTGCCTTGTGTTATGGTCAAGTGTTCTGTTGAGGTTGGCAAGGAGATGTTTGATTGGAGGGTTAATATCAGAGTTAAGTGTTCTATGTATGTAATAGGTGCAGTAATAAGTATGAATGTTTTGTATGGTGAGTAGGTTTAGTGTATTGAATATTGGTGGAGTGTGCTGCCTGTAGTGAGAATTTGTTATCATTCTAACTGCACAAATATATACACATATACACAAATATATACACAAATATATACATATATACACAAATATATACACAAATATATACATATATACACAAATATATACACAAATATATACATATATACACAAATATATACACAAATATATACATATATACACAAATATATACACAAATATATACATATATACACAAATATATACACAAATATATACACAAATATATACACATACACAAATATATACACAAATATATACACAAATATATACATATATACACAAATATATACATATATACACAAATATATACACAAATATATACACATATACACAAATATATACACAAATATATACACATATACACAAATATATACACAAATATATACACATATACACAAATTTTATACACAAATATATACATATATACACAAATATATACACAAATATATACACATATACACAAATATATACACATATACACAAATATATACACAAATATATACACAAATATATACACAAATACACAAATATATACACAAATTTATACACAAATATATACACAAATATATACACATATACACAAATATATACACAAATACATACACAAATATATACACAAATATATACACATACACATATACACAAATATATACACAAATATATACATATATACACAAATATATACACATATACACAAATATATACACAAATATATACACAAATATATACACAAATATATACACATATACACAAATATATACACAAATATATACACATATACACAAATATATACACAAATACGTTGATTATCATACATATTGAACATTACGATATATTATTATTTGTTTTAATATTACAATAGTTCTTATAAACGCGTATTCGTAATAAACGATGGTCGTAAATCGGGGAAATCTGACCTTATATTACATCTCCGGGTCTCGGAAATCGCAAGTCGCGACACCCAATGAATTCAAGGTTTGATCCAAGGAAGCAGAGCTGCAATTACCTGGATCAAGAGCCTTCGACCAGCATCGTGGCACCTCCCTTCAAGGGCCTAATTATAATCAAAGCACTAAACCCGCAAGGGCCTTACAGCTTAATGGCCTTATTGCTATTATCAGAACAAAGCACTAAACCAACAAGGGCCACACAGATTAGGAGCCTATTATTATTATTATCATTATTATCATTATTATTATTATTATTATCATTATTATTATTATTATTATTTATTATCATTTTTATTATTATCATCATTATCTTTAAATATTATTATTATTATTTAATATCATTATTATTATTATTTTATTATCATTATTATTATTATCATTATAATTATTATTATTATTATTTTAAATTATCATTATTATTATTATTATTATTATTATTATTATTATTATTATTATTATTATTATTATTATTATCATTATTATTATTATTATTATTATTATTTTTATTATATAATTATTTTTATTATTATTATTAATTATTTTATTATTATTATTATTATTATTATTGCTTTTTGTAGTTATTATTTTCTAACAAAACTTAACAACATATATACTAACATATATACTAACATATATACTAACATATATACTAACATATATACTAACATATATACTAACAACATATATACTAACATATATACTAACAACATATATACTAACATATATACTAACATATATACTAACAACATATATACTAACATATATACTAACATATATACTAACAACATATATACTAACATATATACTAACATATATACTAACAACATATATACTAACATATATACTAACATATATACTAACATATATACTAATATATATACTAACATATATACTAACATATATACTAACATATATACTAACAACATATATACTAACATATATACTAACATATATACTAACAACATATATACTAACATATATACTAACAACATATATACTAACATATATACTAACATATATACTAACATATATACTAACATATATACTAATTTTATATACTAACATATATACTAACATATATACTAACAACATATATTCTAACTATATACTAACATATATACAAACAACATATATACTAACATATATACTAACATATTTTACTAACATATATACTAACATATATACTAACATATATACTAACAAATATAAAAATATAATACAAACATATATACTAACATATATACTAACATATATACTAACAACATATATAACATATATACTAACATATATACTAACAACATATATACTAACATATAAACTAACAACATATAACTAACATATATACAAAACAACAATTATACTAACATATATACTAACAACATATATACTAACATATATACTAACATATATACTAACAACATATATACTAACAATATACTAACAACATATATACTAACATATATACTAACATATATACTAACATATATACTAATTTTATATACTAACATTTATACTAACATAAAAACTAACATATATACTAACATATATACTAACAACATATATACAACAATTTATACTAACAACTTTATATACTAACATATATACAAAACAACATATATACTAAAATAATACTAACATATATACTAACAACATATATACTAACATATATACTAACAACATATATACTAACATATATACTAACATATATAAAACATATTTTACTAACATATATACTAAAACATATATACTAACATATATACTAACATATATACTAACATATATACTAACAACATATATACTAACATATATACTAACATATATACTAACAACATATATACTAACATATATACTAACAACATATATACTAACATATATACTAACATATATACTAACATATATACTAACAACATATATACTAACATATTTACTAAAAATTTTAACTAATATATATACTAACATTATACTAACATATATACTAACATATATACTAACAACATATATACTAACATATATACTAACATATATACTAACAACATATATACTAACATATATACTAACATATATACTAACATATATACTAACATATATACTAACAACATATATACTAACATATATACTAACAAATATACTAACATATATACTAACATATATACTAACAACATATATACTAACATATAACTAACATATATACTAACATATATACTAACAAAATATACTAAAACATATATACTAACATATATACTAACAACATAATAACTAACATATATACTAACATATATACAACATATTTTACTAACATATATACAAACATATAAAACAACTTTATATACTAACAACATATATACTAACATATATACTAACAACATATATACTAACATATATACTAACATATATACTAACATATATACTAACATATATACTAACAACATATATACTAACAACATATATACTAACATATATACTAACATATATACTAACAATATATACAAAAAATATACAACATAAATACTAAAAACATATATACTAACATATATACTAACAACATATACTAAAAATATACTAACATATATACTAACAAAATATACTAACATATATACTAACATATATACTAACAACATAAAATACTAACAACATATATACAAAACAATTACTAACATATATACTAACATATATACAAACATATATACTAACATATATACTAACAACATATATACTAACATATATACTAACAACATATATACTAACATATATACTAACATATATACTAACATATATACTAACATATATACTAACAACATATATACTAACAACATATATACTAACATATATACTAACATATATACTAACATATATACAAACATATATACTAACATATATACTAACAACATATATACTAACATATATACTAACAACATATATACTAACATATATACTAACATATATACTAACATATATACTAACATATATACTAACATATATACTAACAACATATATACTAACATATATACTAACAACATATATACTAACATATATACTAACATATATACTAACATACATACTAACATATATACTAACATATATACTAACATATATACTAACAACATATATACTAACAACATATATACTAACAACATATATACTAACATATATACTAACATATATACTAACAACATATATACTAACAACATATATACTAACAACATATATACTAACAACATATATACTAACAACATATATACTAACAAAAATTTATACTAACAACATATATACTAACATATATACTAACATATATACTAACATATATACTAACATATATACTCACCTCAGTGGGTCCCACCATCAGTATTTTAATCTTATGTGTCATTATTTAAGTCTTATTATCTCTTATTTCTTCAAAATAACTAAAATTCTCCTCAAATATTTATCAAAATCTTCAAATTTCTTCAGATTTTAAGAAAAATATTTGTTTACATTCTGGTGATATAACGACCATTAATATAAAATTATAAAAATATATATAAATAAATGTTTTTAATTTTAAAATGTAATGATATATTTAATACCGATATTTTTTTATTATAAAATAATACTTAAGTTGTCTTCTATTTTATTTTTTTTTTTTACATTCGAAAGGGATTTATTTTTTCTGTATTTGTCTATTATTGAGGAAATTTTCAAGGATTTATACAGAAAAAATCTATTAAATTTGTCCATTGAAGAATTATCCATCGATATGTCTATGTAGATAGAGTTTTAATAGTAAAAAATTAGATATTTTGATTTGTAAGACATTTTCAAGTTGGATTATAGGGCCACCATGATTGTGTCTTCCTGTGTCCAGGGACCATATATGTCAGTCAGTCAGTCAGTCAGTCAGTCAGTCAGTCAGTCATTGGGTCAGTCAGTCATTGGGTCAGTCAATGGGTCAGTCAGTATGTAAATAACTCAGCCAGTAAGTAAGTCAGTCATTATGTGAATAAGTCAGTCAATCAGTAAGTCACACAGTAAGTCAATAAATCATAAGTCACTCAGTAAGTCAGTCAGTAAGTTTATTCAGGTACAGGTACACATAAATATATTCTCATATAGTCATGGAGAAATGGTACCAAGCGAGCCACATCTTCCCGAATGGACGTGAACGAATCCCGGACGGTCGGGTTCATTAGAATCATTGATCATTTTCTTGGGATTTTAACCCCGGAGGGTTAGCCAGCCAGGATAACCCAGGGTAGGGAGTGTTAGCCAGCCAGGATAACCCAGGGTAGGGAGTGTTAGCCAGCCAGGATAACGCAGGGTAGGGAGTGTTAGTCAGCCAGGATAACCCAGGGTAGGGAGTGTTAGCCAGCCAGGATAACCCAGGGTAGGGAGTGTTAGCCGGCCAGGATAACCCAGGGTAGGGAGTGTTAGCCAGCCAGGATAACCCAGGGTAGGGAGTGTTAGCCAGCCAGGATAACCCAGGGTAGGGAGTGTTAACCAGCCAGGATAACCCAGGGTAGGGGGTGTTAACCAGCCAGGATAACCCAGGGTAGGGAGTGTTAGCCAGCCAGGATAACCCAGGGTAGGGAGTGTTACCCAGCCAGGATAACCCAGGGTAGGGAGTGTTAGCCAGCCAGGATAACGCAGGGTAGGGAGTGTTAGCCAGCCGGGATAACCCAGGTAGGATTTTTAGCCAGCCAGGATAACCCAGGGTAGGGATTGTTAGCCAGCCCAGAATAACCCAGGGTAGGGAGTGTTAGCCAGCCAGGATAAACCCAGGGTAGGGAGTGTTAGCCAGCTAGGATAACCCAGGGTGGGAGTGTTAGCCCCAGGATAACCCAGGGTAGGGAGTGTTAGCCACCAGGTTTAAACCCAAAGGGGGGGAGTGTTAGCCAGCAAGGATAACCCGGGTAACGAGTATTAGCCAGCCAGGATAACCCAGGGTAGGGAGTGTTAGGCCAGCCAGGATAACCCAGGGTAACCGAGTGTTAGCCAGCCAGGATAACCCAGGGTAGGAGTGTTTGCCAGCCAGGATAACCCCGGGTAGGGAGTGTTAGCCAGCCAGATAACCCAGGTAAACGAGTGTTAGCCAGCCAGGATAACCCAGGGTAACGAGTGTTAGCCAGCCAGGATAACCCAGGGTAGGGAGTGTTAGCCAGCCAGAATAACCCAGGGTAGGGAGTGTTAGCCAGCCAGGATAACCCAGGGTAGGGAGTGTTAGCCAGCCAGGATAACCCAGGGTAGGGAGTGTTAGCCAGCCAGGATAACCCAGGGTAACGAGTGTTAGCCAGCCAGGATAACCCAGGGTAACGAGTGTTAGCCAGCCAGGATAACCCAGTGTAGGGAGTGTTAGCCAGCCAGAATAACCCAGGGTAGGGAGTGTTAGCCAGCCAGGATAAACCCCCGGGTAGGGAGTGTTAGCCAGCCAGGATAACCCAGGGTAGGGAGTGTTAGCCAGCCAGGATAACCCAGGGTAGGGAGTGTTAGCCAGCCAGGATAACCAAGGGTAGGGAGTGTTAGCCAGCAAGGATAACCCAGGGTAACGAGTGTTAGCCAGCCAGGATAACCCAGGGTAGGGAGTGTTAGCCAGCCAGGATAACCCAGGGTAACGAGTGTTAGCCAGCCAGGATAACCCAGGGTAACGAGTGTTAGCCAGCCAGGATAACCCAGGGTAGGGAGTGTTAGCCAGCCAGGATAACCCAGGGTAGGGAGTGTTAGCCAGCCAGGATAACCCGGGTAACGAGTGTTAGCCACCAGGATAACCCAGGGTAACGAGTGTTTTGCCAGCCAGGATAACCCAGGGTAGGGAGTGTTAGCCAGCCAGGATAACCCAGGGTAGGGAGTGTTAGCCAGCCAGGATAACCCAGGGTAAGGAGTGTTAGCCAGCCAAGGTAACCCAAGCAAGTCAGTGCATCATCGAGGACTATCCACCTTATTACCAGGCCACGGGCCTGGTAGGCAACCAAAAAACAATGAACAGTGCTGAAGAGGACCCCAAAAATGGGTGGAAATATACAGACCAATTATTTTTCTGATTTCCTGTCTCCATATTATGTTATTATTAAGCATAATTATTATATTTATGGATAAGCGCTAAATCTGTATGGGAGGCAATCAGATTCCATTCAGTGAAGAGAAGGCACGTCCATTTCCTTGGATCTAGAGCCTCTCACTGTCATAAATGAACCTCTTGAAAGGGTCGGGTTCATTTAGGTCCACTTAAGGGATCTTTCTCGGAGCCGGTAAGGAGCTCTTAATCCAAAGAATTTTACTTGGTTTCCCCTTCCCTGGATCAACCCTAATCACCAACTACTCTTTCAGATGCTATATGACCCATACAGGTTTAGCACTGCCCCATAAATATGATAATAATAATTGTTGTTGTAGCTGTTAAAGTCAACTAAAGATTACGCCTTTTTAGGCCTAACTTCAGTGAATCCTGGAAATATAAGCTGCTCAAATACATGTAAATTACATTATGTATTCACTCAATGAAACAAATTAAGTATTAGAATTTGAATCCTGGAGGGATAATGTATATATTATATATATTATTATATAAAAATATCCGGGTTCAAAAACCCGGACAAATTTGACTGAACTTGAGTCGTCGTCGCCCTTAAACCCAACAAAACAAACCCAGTCTTGGAAAATTTGTGTCGATCATAACTTCAAATTTAACAGCTAGATGGACTTAGACGGTGTTAAATGTGCATTTAAAACCTGGCGACTAACATTGTGTGCATCATTTAACAACGTTAATTAACGTAAATAGTTGTTAAGAGGACGTTAAATGGGTATAAAAGAGTGCTGCTCCATGTTTTTTTCCGGCCTGCCAGACCCGGCTCTTCCCTTCCTTCCTTCTCTTCTTCTTGGCACATTTTTTGCAGGTTTTTTTCTGCTTTTTTTCTATAAGAAGAGCACTAATTTACCACTCAAAATCATATTGATACACATAGTGAGGAAGCTGGTGTGTTTACTGCCCGGAAATGATCACGATGAGAGCGAAACATGTTTAAGCCCAGATTGTTTCCGGTGTAATAAATACCAGCAACTCAGGGTTCAAATTGTCGAAAAATGGAAGGAAATGGGTGGAAATGGGGTTAAATTGGCCTCACGGGAGGTGGAAGAGGCTGTCGGAAAAGTTGAGCGCGAAATCGAGTCGAACGTGAAGGTCGGAGCGGGTGAGCGACGGAGGGAAAAAAATGGGGGAAATAATTTGCATCTTCAGAATCCGACTCTATTTAAAATGGAGCTGACTGCTAACCCCTATTGGAATGATTTTGACATTTACACAAGGAGCTTGATTTTCTGAAGCTGAATTTTGCGATAATCTTCAAGGAATTTGTGACGGTCTTCGACGCTCTCAAAAGCGGCGACAACTGGGGATGGAAATCAAATGACATTGGTGAAGGCCACTGGTGTATATTTCCCTTCATCGACCAGGGCCTCATCAACGAATCGAATTGTCGTCGATGTCCTAACGTAGCGGCGATTCTGGACGCTCTTCCATCGCTCATGAAGGACTGTGTGTTTGGAAATGTGTGTTTCTCTATCCTCTATCCTGACTCCCACATCAAGGCCCATTACGGGCCTAGTAATATACGACTAAGGTGTCATTTAGGCAAGTTTCACCAAGGTTCAACTTTCACATACGTATAATATAATTTTTTGGCTTATCCTGGGGTATGTAAAGTAAAAGGACACAAGTGCAACTAATGTAACTTTTTATAGTGGCAGCTTTTCGCTCTCCAGGATCTTTGTCAAGCCGTAATGGCTTGACAAAGCTCCTGGAGAGCGAAACGTTGCCACAATAAAATTGTTACATTAGTTGCACTTGTGTCCTTTTACTTTACATATTGTCGGTAATTCTACCAACGTTATTACTATCCTGGGGGTAATTAATATGTATGTTACCATGTACAATAATTGTTTGGCATCACTTGGCTTTGTGTAGCTGTACTTATGTATACTACATGTACCTAAATAAATTTATTAGCCATGCATTCTATGCTATTTATTCCATTTGTCACATTCGCTTCCATTCACATACATTCATTCATTCACTCTATTCATTCATGTTTTTCTTCTTTTTTGGGTACTGTACTTAAACTAATTCTTTTTTTTTATTATCACACTGGCCGATTCCCACCAAGGCAGGGTGGCCGGAAAAAGAAAAACTTTCCCCATCATTCACTCCATCACTGTCTTGCCAGAAGGGTGCTTTACTCTACAGTTTTTAAACTGCAACATTGAACCACTCCTTCAGAGTGCAGGCACTGCACTTCCTCTCAGGACTCAGTTAAATAATTCTGTTCAAATTTTCGGCTACAATCCAGATGGATGTTGGCTGAATTCAGGAACTCGTGCAAAGTGACTGCAAGAGAACTTTAGTCCTGGACTGAATTCTTCGAACATCGTACATTTGTGGACCAGTCCAGCTCAGCACAGGCCGTACCTAGAGCAGTTTAATGCTGGATTTTTGGACCTGAAATCATTTTCAAAGGAAAAACAAGTGATTGCTGAAATTTTAGCTCCTAGGACTAATATGTTTTACAGTAATTCCTGATCAGAGGCGTAAAGGCATTTGTGGTGGATGATGAAACATTTTCCATTACAGTAACGTAAGGGACAATTCTGGTAACATGGACATTTATCTTCTGAATAATGACCATTGATTTTGTATTGAAGTTTCAAAGTGTTATATAGGGGTCTGGCAAATAGTTTCAAGACCGAGTGGAATAAGTACTTTGTCAGACTTTTTTTTTTGGGTTATCCCAGAGGGTAATTTGCACATATGTTACTATGCAAGACAAGCCACAGGGGTGGAAATCTTTAGCTCGAGCTAAAGATTTCCACCCCTGTGGCTTGTCTTGCAGAGTTAAGATCGCCTGTCTGCGATCGTTTGCAATATGTTACTACGTATATAACTGTAGTTACGTGTACCTGTACCTAAATAACCTTGCATCATATATCAAGAATTTACTGTATGTAGTATATCACATGTTAGGTAATGAAAATAATGCAGCTCTAACAATGAAGGGATTGTTAATATACTGTACTATACTGAAATGTTTTTAAATGTTAAATACCTCATTCCAGATATTTTGTAAAATAAATTCCACTTAGGGAAAATTCTTTGTTACCTGTGAGGGGGACTCTTTATCCAAAGAATTGGACCTGCTCTTCCTTTCTTGGATCAAATTTAGTTGCCTTCCATTATCCCAGCAGTTGGATAGGCCCTACAGGTTTAGTGCTTTCCCCCATGAATGTAATACAGTAGTCCCCCAGTATCCATGATGGATACTTTCCAAGACCTACCATGGATACCCAAAACTGTGCATAGTAGTAAACCCAATACATGTCATTGTTCATTTATATACATATCTGTGGTAAAGTTTAATTGATAAATTATGGAAAATAAGTTTAGAATTATCACTTTTTCACTGATGGGAAGCACTTCATGTCTGCTCTTAGGCTTTGAAAGAACTCCGACCATCACTATTTTTGTGCTCCGGAGCCGTTAAGAAAAATTAAGCATTAATTCTGGGCTATACTAAACTGTGGATAACTGAAACCATGGATACAGAATCCATGTATATGGAGGTTCTACTGTATTTAAAAAACTTACATTTAAAGAATACTGGAATTGTTCCATTAATAAGTTGGTTGTGAACACTGATAAAATGTGAGAAAGCACATAGACTAATAAATGATTTGGGGCCCTGAAGCTTAAGCTTCAGGGGCCCCTAATCCCAGAGGGGTCCCAGAAACAACTTTAATCCACATTGCCTAAGAATTTTGGGTCTGCTGTATGAGAAAGATTTGTGAAGGGGCCCCTATAACAGTTCAAGATTCAGGGCACCAAAAATTTAGGTCCGTCACTGAATGACGGTGTATAATACAGACACAGTTGGAGAGTCTTGACTGTAGGTGAACCAGATCTCATCTTGACACGACCTTCATTTTTTGGGGTCCAAGAGCTTTCTAACCTTTCAATGGCATAATTATTTATTTGTAATTTTTTATTCTGATTGTATAAGTTGCATCATGTACTTCTGGATGTAGATTATTATTATTATTATTTTTTTTTTTTTATTATTATCACACTGGCCGATTCCCACCAAGGCAGGGTGGCCCGAAAAAGAAAAACTTATTATTATTGTTTATTATTATTATTATTTTTGTTTTTTTATTATTATCACACTGGCCGATTCCCACCAAGGCAGGGTGGCCCGAAAAAGAAAAACTTATTATTATTGTTTATTATTATTATTTTTTTTTTTTATTATTATCACACTGGCCGATTCCCACCAAGGCAGGGTGGCCCGAAAAAGAAAAACTTATTATTATTGTTTATTATTATTATTTTTGTTTTTATTATTATTATTAAAAATTGCAACCTATTCATAAGTTATCAAAAATCGTTTATTATCGTTACATTCATGGGGCTGTTGATCCAAGGAATTAGATTTGCCCTTCCCTCCCTTGGATCAAACCTCAGTACCTTCCATTCCTCTATATGACCCCTACAGGTTTAGCACTTAACCCAATTAAAATAAGATAAAAATATATTCATGGGAGGGTGGAGCTAAACCAGTAGGGGTCCTGCACCACCTGGGAAAATGGGAAGTCAGATCCAATTCCTTGAACGAAGAGCACGAAGAGTATTGTAGTGTAAACTAGCCTAATACGGCAGCTACTGTAGTGTAAACTAGCCTAATACAGTGCCTACTGTAGTGTAACCTAGCCTGATACAGCTACTATTGTATGTACATAACTGTGAAATTAAATGACTTAAAAATATAAAGCTATTCTTAATTTGATATACAATATAATAGTGACGGAATGTAGCATCATATTTGCTGATGCACCTCTGATGAAGTATTTCTATTATATTTACTCCATAAAGAATAAAAAGGTACAATAGAGGTGCTTCTTGACTTATAAGATAAGATAAGATTTCGTTCGGATTTTTAACCCCGGAGGGTTAGCCACCCAGGATAACCCAAGAAAGTCAGTGCGTCATCGAGGACTGTCTAACTTATTTCCATTGGGGTCCTTAATCTTGTCCCCCAGGATGCGACCCACACCAGTCGACTAACACCCAGATACCTATTTGCTGCTAGGTGAACAGGACAACAGGTGTAAGGAAACGTGTCGAAATGTTTCCACCCGCCGGGAATCGAACCCGGGCCCTCCGTGTGTGAAGCGGGAGCTTTAGCCACCAGGCCACCGAACCCATCGTAAGTTGAAAATACAGCCTCTCCTCACTTAGCGACATACTCGTTTACCGATGCCTTGGACTTACGACGGGCTCTTTGACCAGCATGCATACCTAAATAATGTATATTAGAACTGATTTCCTATACAGTGGACCCCTGCTTTACGATCACCTCCCAATGCGACCAATAATGTAAGTGTATTTATGTAAGTGCGTTTGTACGTGTATGTTTGGTGGTCTGAAATGGACTAATCTAATTCACAATATTCCTTATGGGAACAAATTCGGTCAGTACTGGCACCTGAACATACTTCTGGAATGAAAAAATATCGTAAACCGGAGGTCCACTGTATTCTTTTTATTACAGTATACAGTTCACTGCTGTATAAACATTTAAAAATATACCAGAAATGTTATAAATGGTACAAAGGTGACATTAAAACAGTATCAAAGATGGTTGACACACATCCACTTCCATCATAATAAGCTTCTCACTTAGCTACGAATTCGCTAAGTGAGGAGAGGCTGTATATTCACCACTAACTATAAGTTAAGGAATGAAAATATTTTAAGTAATGTATGTACTGTAGTATATGCATTTTTTAGGCCTGGCTTTATTGCTCACTTAATATATATATGATAGTGTAAACCTGTTATCAGGCTTTTATATGTACAGTGGAACCTCAAATATCGAACTTTCTTCGGTCCAGAAGTCTGTTCGAGTGCCTTTATCGAATGAATTTATTCCCATCAGAAATAATGTAAATTAGATTAGTCCATTTCAGACCCTTAAAAATACACTTATAAAAGCAGTTACAAAAATACACTTACATAATTGGTTGTGTTGGGAGCAGTTCGATTTTTGAGGTTCCACTGTATTTGAAAGTGGAAAAAATGCTATGATTCACTTTATAGTGATTTTTCCCTTTACAGCCGTAGCCCAGAACCTGACCTGCTGTATAAGCAAGACCTTCCTGTACTCTGGTAGTTTACATTAATCAGTATTTTAGGTAGAGTATTCTTGACTGGCGGTGTACAGGTGACCTGCAGCCTTAATCAATCAATCAAGTTTATTCTCTATAAGGATTACAATGCGGGGTTTACAGATTTTGAATGTTGTGTGGTTTACATGTTTTAAAATACTAATTACAGAGGGGCCACTAGGACACCTAGCACCTTGTGTAGTAGATAGACTTTAAGATAAGATAAGATAAGATTTCGTTCGGATTTTTAACCCCGGAGGGTTAGCCACCCAGGATAACCCAAGAAAGTCAGTGCGTCATCGAGGAGTGTCTAACTTGTTTCCATTGGGGTCCTTAATCTTGTCCCCCAGGATGCGACCCACACCAGTCCACTAACACCCAGGTACCTATTTGCTGCTAGGTGAACAGGACAACAGGTGTAAGGAAACGTGTCGAAATGTTTCCATCCGCCGGGAATCGAACCCGGGCCCTC